AAAACAAAAGGTCGAAGCGTCTAGGAGCTATTCTTTTATAAAGTTCTGGGATGTGCACCAAAAAGAAGCTGAGATAATTGCTAATTTGCATGACAATTCACTCAGTAAGAAGTTTGCTAATGCTCATAATTAAAATGGCTGTAACAGTTCCAGATTTAAATGTATTATCGTTTAGTGAAAAGTTAAATATAGTGCATAATATGAAGATCCCGTCATTTCTCTTTTTCACCATGTTTCTTTTTTATTATAAATCTTGCCAAGTATTCAAAAGAAATAATGTTTGCACCTGTTATCTATATTTTAAAATCGTTTTTGAGTATGTTCCACTATTCACAATTCTACAGTATATAGCCGAGACTGTTTCGATAATAAAAAGGAAAAACAAAATTTCACTCCCAAGAGCCCACGAACCTGCATCTCTCTCTACCTTAAAGCAATTCATGCGACACAAATTTCCAAATTTGTGGAACTCTGATAGCAGAAATTCAAGATGGCGGACATACCATGTGACCAATCAAAGTTACTTTATTTTTCTCATAAAAAGTTCTGGCCATCCATACTACATCCAAAGTTTCACGTTGATCGGCTAAAGCATTCATGAAAAACAAATGTCCTAAATTGTGGGGACTGCAAAACCACGTGACTAGATATTTTAACATTCTCGTAAGAAGTTTTGTTCATACTTACCGCGGATTGTGATGATGGCGGCCAAACCATGTGACTGATTATATAATTTTTTGTGTAAAAAAAATGTGGTAACATATGCTAAATGCCAAATATCCAGTTGATCGGTAAAGCACTCCTGAAAAACAAATGCCCCAATGCGAAAATCAAAAATGGCGAAAATATCTCGTGACCATTACGAATTATTTTTTTGTTGGCGGCCAAACTACGAGACCAATCACACAAAGAACTTCGCATAATATAAAGAGCTTTACTCATGTGCTAAAAACAAATTTATGCTACTACAAAAAATCAAAATGCCTAGACCCTCAAAAAGGGTTCACAATGGCTACTTCCGTTTCATTCAATGTACATACAGCACATATACTGCTTACCAACTTTGTAATATGAAAACAAATCACGCTATCTTAACGCCTGGACGCCCATTTGTTAATAAACTAACTGCCGACAATAGTACGACAGTTTTGTCCACGAACCTGTATTTATTATAGCTTTATTATTTATTATATTATGCCTCAAATTGTGGTAGTTTTTGCCGAAATCTTAGATCACTGCCAAACCACGTGACTGATCAATAAGAAGCTTTAGTCAGACAAGGTCGCGTGAGTTGCGCCCTACGCGGTGCTCCAACGCCGACACTGGAGTATGACGACGTTCAGCCGGCGAGGGCGCCACTCACACAGACACGTCAGGCTAAAGCAGCCTTGTACCATACATATAAACTATCAGGTTTATCGGTTATTAACTACTCACGAGAAACATTATTATTAAGTACTCATGAGAAACAAATGCCCAAAATTCTGAAAGCCAGGTGTACCAGTTCTCGTAAGGCCCTCCCTACCAGAATAGGGTCCAAACGTACTTTGGCCCGAATGATTGCCATTGTCACGCCATCAACGGCAACGCGTAACACGAAGGTTCTAGCTATAGTTATTGTAATTGCCATTTTTTTGAAAGAACACGCAGAAAGTCATTTATACGATCAAACAAACTAATCGAATGAATGATTGTACTTTACAATCTTAAACAAATATTGATACACCGTTATTTTATTTTGCTAACGAATGTACTCTTTTAATCATAGAAACTACCAGGTTTGGCCAAGGTTCGGAATTCTCACCATTTTCAAGCATGTTACATTGCCCTTGGTTGTCATAATTAATCCAGCCATTCTCGATGACATTCAACCAATGTGACTGCTCTACTTTTTAACACTCAGGCTGTTTTACGCTATTTGACATCTACATGCGCAAGTGATTGTAGCTATGACGCCATTGGAATCAGTAAAAATATACAACGCAATCTGTTTTTAAAAATCATTATATTTTATTGTATTCAATTTTTTGACAAATCCAGATTTATGGAATACCTCAATACATTTTCGTGTATATATGATCTGGATATTATTTATAGATATGTACGTGCGTTTATATTTTGGAAACTATAATGTTTGGAATGCTTTCCTACATACTTACGGTGTCCCATTTTTCATATGGCCACAATCTTGGATAACAGTGTGTGTTTTAAAAATACAGCTGCCCATTCAACCACCAGCAGTGTTCTCCACAAATAAAATTTAAAGAGGGGCGCTAATTTGCATATAATTAGCATATTTAATTTGCATATAATTAGCATACTAATCAAACATTTCAAAGGAAATTCTTAGCACTTTTATATTTACATCAATTAAAGACTGTGTACAAGTACTATATTAATGTTCTTGAATTATTTTGATGAATAAGTTAAACTACTTGATGTGTAAAAAAATATCAACTTTGACAAATGAAGAATATCCAATTTTATTCTTTGTAAAAGTGTAATGGAACAAGTTGTGAAATTCTAGCCTTTCATTTATTTCTTTTAAATTTCTTTCAAATATTTCCATTTTTATAGGTTTTATAAATGCACTGAGATATTGTAATAGTTGAAAACCCCAAGTAATAATAAGAACAATATTTTCACATAACAACATTACCATTTAAAAGAAAAAGAAAAAATCGAATCCGATGACTGTAAATAAATTAATCATTATGTTGATTGCATTGTGGGTACTGAGGACAAAGGTCAAATCAGATACCGTGACATCCATGTTGTTTCAGTGTTTACCGTACGTTTTGTTTTGGTGATTTATTTGATGATTCTTTTTACTTTTCGCG